CAATTAATCCCATGCATTAGCTCTTTATCTTCCCATTCTTCCTTTTATGTGACTGACGGAAGTTCGTAAACCGCTGCGGTCACTTGAAAGCTGGAAATCCCCCCCAAAAAGCAAAAGCAGACACAGAAGTGGGGCAGTAGAGCTGTGGAAAGATTGCTGTCTCATCTCCTCCTTTTGACAGATTTATTCCCATCAAATCAAGGTCTACTGTACAGTAGAGATGTCAGTTAAAGGGTTAAGTTATGTTTTAGGTGGGATATTATGAAAGCAAAAAGCAGAAAACAAGACCAATAACCTTGATTTATTAACCTATTAACACAGTATACCCCCATTTCCCCATGATATGTACTTACAAGTCATTTGCCCACCGGCAACAATAGTTTGTAGTTTATAGTTTATAAAGTATACAAAAAACAATAGATCTCCTGTAAGATTTGTTTTGTTTGGATGATTCTAGAGACCTTCATGATTATGTATATATATATATATATATATGTGTGTGTGTGTGTCAACAAAAAAATACTTATTAGTAACATGAAAATTAAATTTCTTTGGGAGGGTTTGCCTTCGCCATGCTTCCTGGAAATAGGGGTAGGAACTTGACAGCATCATGTGACAGGAAGGAAGTGAATACCTATTTTTTTCTTGAAATCCTTTATTTGGTTGTTTGCTTGCATGTCATTGAGAAATAAAACATGGATAACATCTAGAAAAATACTTACAAAAGGAAAATGACAACTATAAACTGCAGCAACTATAGCTGCCGGTGGGCTTAAATGGGTTAAGCAGCAACTGCCTAATAAATGATTGTAATGTTATAATTTTTCCCATTCTATTTTTACTATAATCTTTGTCTGCTCTGCATTTTGCATCTGCATTGGCATTTCTTTCTTGCTCTCCCTTGCATTTCTTTCTTTCTCTGAAAACAAGTTTTATTAGCTTTTGCAGATTTGCGTCACATTAAGTCATCTATAAAGAAAATTCAATATTGAACAGCCATAAATGCTGATTACGCTTAGCTTTATTTATTTGGAGTTCCCTACTAGTCACAAGCAGCTTAATAAATCAATGTGCTGCGCGTTTATTTGAAACCGATAAACACTTTAAATAGTCAGAACTTACAATACAGGACTTATAATAAAGTGTCATAGCATGTTCGCCTGTAAACAACTGTAATAGAAAAAAAGAAAACAACAACTACTACTGCATTTTGAGTCATTTGTATATGCCACAAGTTCACATTGACAGGGAAGTTGGTCATATTGAGAAAGTAGCATTTGAAGTGCCTACTCTGTACAACCGCAGTCTTAAGTTTGGGTTGAGGATTCATCCAAAATAGAAACAAGGAAGTGAGAGAGAGACCAGGCAGCCCTTGGTTTTATTCTCTGCACACATCAGAATCAATGAAAAACCATTCGGCATGTGGAAAGTACGAGTCGTTTGTTTCTGCATCTATACAGGTGAGTAGTGGCGATCACTTTACATCAGAACGACAGCATCTTGATTTCAGACTCTAATTTCTAAACGATCAGCATCAGTGTTGGGAAAACTACATTACAACTCTGGCTTGCCAAGCTTGGTATAGGCTAGTCCTCGTTCAAGTTGAGTCGAGCTTAAAAAGTAAAGCTACAAATGACCTAATCTACTAATAAACTTAATTACTTTTATTGCTATAACATATTGAACAAAAAATGAGGATCTCGTTTAGGGTGATAGCATTTAACACCATTTGAACAGATCAATTTACTCAGAATATCAGCATTAAAAATAGCTAAATCACATTATTTGAACATTAATTATTATTATTACATCTTTAAACATACATGAAATTATATTAATATGAATTCATATAAATAAATATTAAATATGAATTTGTATATCACTTAAAAAAATACTTATATAAATATAAAATAGTTTTGTTTGGATTGGTTGAACTGTATAATCTGAACAAACAGATTCAGTAAAAAGAACTAAACTGCTTCATATGACTGGAAAAAAAATAACAACATCAAGCTTAACATCCAGTTATTTTCACAACAGTTCGCTTTACTGTAAAACTGTATAAAGCGGAAGAACTAAAACATTATATTTAGTACCGTGACTCGTTGGAAAAGTGGATTATTGCCTTTAAAAGCTCATTAGTCACATGTAGTTAGGCTAATTGTGTTGCTAACTGCTAGTTAGTTGTTGGAAATAAGTAACATTGACTGCTGCTTATGTGCTTTATGTCTGTGTATTACATAAATCACAACTGAATATCTTTAAAATATACTTTTAAATGTAATTTAATTTCCTTTCCAGCCTGTCTACTGGATGTTAGCTGTGCTAAGATCGGATATGAGGGGAACAACGTAACAATTCACACCATTTACCCACCGGACTACGAGACAAACACCAAGTACTTCGGCAAAACTGATGGTTTCTTCTTTGAGAAACTGGTTGAGACGTCTCATCACAACAGGTGGGTGAAACAGGGGCGATTCGCTCTATTCGACAACACGTCCGCATGCATCCTTACCGCCGCCATCTTGAAACTGGTCGCGGCGGATTCTGGCTACTACTCGTTCGGCGTGGATATTAAACTGCTGCCTGATCTGATGGGGGATAAAATACAACTGACTGTCATTATGGGTGAGAACCCTTTAGCATGTTTTTAACAGGTTCTATTTTTTCCACACACTCACACACATGACTGAATGCAGAAGTGAATGTGGCTAAAGGAACGAATCGCGATAGTTTCACGTTCCTTCTTCTCTGCACAGGTGAAGCACAGAGACCCACAACACCAGCACCGACCCCGAAAGGTACCACAGAAATACAGTCTCATCATACAAAAGCTATGTACTCAATATGTTATTACTGCATAATGTTTTATAATGTACTACAATAGTGAGGCGTAGATATCTGGCATTATTTGCACCATGCTATTTTCACTTAGTGCAAATATAGCTGCTGCCTATCTTAATGATCTCTGTTCTAATGTTGTGTTTTAGTGATCGTCTACAGCACGAGCAGTCCTCTGAATATCACAGCACAGAACTGGGCCAAAACTAGAGATCAGGGTGAACTGTCTGTCCTCTCTACAGTCTGTCATTGATTAATTCAATAATTAATTCTGCCTATTGTTTGTTCAATCCACCATTTGTTTATTCCATTGTTTAGTCAGTCTATCATTCATTCTGTCATTTGCTTTATCTGTCTTCATTCATGCATGCATTTTGTCCTCCATTCTGTCTATCGTTCACCCATTCTTTCATTCAGTAGTTCATTCATTTGTCTGTTATTTGTACTATCTATGTTTCGCTCATTCGTTCTCTTGTTCATTCTGTCTATCATTTGTTCATTCCATAGTTCTGATAATTGTTTATTCCTTCTGTAGTTCATACTGTTTATTTTGTTTTATGTTTTTTTTGTTCATACCATCTTTCATCGGTTCTTTTCTTTCTATTCATCAATTCATTCGATCATTAGTTCAGTGTTTGTTTGGTTCACTCATTCCACCATTTGTTCATTCAGATGCATTACTCATTCTGTGTATTATTTGTTAATTTATTATATAATTAGTTCATTCGTACTGTATATGGTTCGTTCTTTCTGTCATTTGTTCATTCCGTCATTAATTCTCTCGTTCCACTATTCATCTGTTTGTTCATTCTTTAGATCATTCATTCACTATTTAGTTCATACTGTTTATTGTACACGGATTCAATAGAATGAACGAAAATGGAGTGATCAAACGAGAGACTGTCTCTTGTTCATTCATTCTTTTGTTTGTTCTGTCATTCTTTAATTTCTTCTATCGAATGTTTGAACTTATTGCTGTCGTTTTATATCGTCTTATCGTTCCTATTAACGTCTTACACAACAGAACTGTCTCTGTTCAGATCTTACTATTTGTCTCTCAGTTTCTCTTCCACTCTTTGTTTCTGTCGCTCAAATAAACTAATTGTGTCTTTATCAGGTGTGTCAGATTGTTTCCCTTTTCCACAGAATCTTACGTCAGGTTCGTGACAGTCTTGAGCTTGGTGTGTGTTTGCACACTTCTGGTTGTGTGTCCATTCATTCTGTTTAAAGTTTTAAAATGGGCCACCGCCTCCAAGCTGTCAGGTGAGACGACTGCATGAGACTTCCTCTTTTCTATGCAATCATAGCTTTAACATTTATCATGCAACAATTAATACATGCATTTCCCTCCTCCAGTGTCTGTGTCTTATCACACCAGGAAGACATCAGCTCAAGTTGTTGTAAGTCTGTAATCGATGTTATCACGTTCACAAGCATTGCCACATTAATAGTGACGCTGATAACGATAACTAATGTCCTCATTGATATGAAAGCTTCCTCTTTACAGGATGAGTATGTGAAAATGCACTCAGTCGTCCTTACAAACTCACCCACGGCTCGAAGTGATAGAGGTTCAGTTATCCAGGACTTTCACAGGCCTGCAAACATAGAGCCGGTTCCCAGCACCGATGCCTGCTACATAGATTTTGTGCAACCAGATTTGGATCAGATCTACACAGAAATGAACCCTGATGTTGTTCAAGAGTGTGTTTATCAGAGTATTGATCAAACTACTGACTGACCACAGCATCCTCATCAACAGCCTATCAAAATCACAGTTTCTTCACATTTTTCCTGCAACAGTTTTTCAGTAACACTTTACAATAAGGTTCCTTTTGCTAACATTAGCTAACATGAACTAATATTACAATCAAAGGTTATATCTGTTGATGTACCTGTGCTAATGGTAACAAAGTTTACACATACATTGCATTTTGTTAGTTAACACATTAACTAACGTTAACTATTTGAACCTTATTGTATAATTTTACCGATTTTCATCAGTTTGTTATCTTGATTTCATGTATAAAGAAAAACTATTGCATTGTATTGAATAAATAAATGCATCTGAATGAAAACTGTAAATGCAGATGGTATAGAAATGTGTGTGTGTGAGTTTAGTGGGACTACAAGTCACGATACGTCACTGCAGATGTCTCAAGAGGATGGAGAGACAAAAAGAGAAGTAAATACTTTATCATACCACGCAGGAGGAAGGCGAAGTTTACAGTGGATTTCACACAGTTTTTAGCTTTTAAAAGTGCTGTGAAGTGAGTCTGTTCAGCATGTGGATGTTTCTAGTTTTCCTCTCCCACGTCTTCACCGGTGAGTTAACCTTCGCTTATCTTTCGTAAGGAAACAAGTAACTAAAGACTGAGGCCTGATGATATGTGACCCTGGAGCACAAAACCATTAAGTCTTAAGTCGCTTGGGTATGTTTTTAGCAACAGGCAAAAAAACATTGTATGGGTCAAAATTATCGATTTTTCTTTTATGCCAAAAATCATTAGGATATTAAGTAAAGATCATGTTCCATGAAGATAGTTTGTAAATTTCCTACCGTAAATATATCAAAACTTAATTTTTGAGTAGTAATATGCATTGCTAAGAACTTAATTTAAACAACTTTAAAGGCGATTTTCTCAATATTTAGATTTTGCAGATTCCAGATTTTCCAGATTTATTTTTTCCTAACAAACCATACATCAATGGAAAGCTTATTTAGTCAGCTTTCAGATGATGTATAAATCTCAATTTAAAAAAAAATTGACCCTTATGACTGGTTTTGTGGTCCACGGTCACAAATTTGGACTGACTTGTGTTATTGATTCAGTTGATGATGTGATGTCACATCCTGTCTGACTCCTGATTTCCAGTGGTGTCTATGAATCCTCTAACTGCTTCAGTGGGAGGAGACATCACATTTCATTGTTCACATCTTATGGCCCATGGGAACATCAAATATTTCTGCAGAGACTCTTGTGCGGTCGAGAATATTCTCATTCAAACGAATGCAGGAGAGAACCCGACTCGCACAGGCAGATACACGATACATGACAAAGGATCAGACTTCACCGTGACCATCGCTGACCTGCGGCTATCAGACTCTGGCACTTTTATCTGCGCAGTCGACAGACTTTTAAAAGACACTTACACTTATGTGACTCTACGTGTGTTTGAGGGTAAGTTGTTATTAACATTTTTAACATTCTTTTGTGAACGCACTTTATTTAGTAAAAATGTTTGTTTAGAGCTGAAATTGCCCTTTCAGAGATAAGTTGTAGTTAAAAGTATTTCGGAAAAGTTTGCTTTGCTTCAGATAACAGTCAAACTATTAAGATATTAAACATAAAAGTAAAGATGCTTTGAAACAATGTGCATATTTAAAAAAAAAAGCCATGCAGGACTGTAAGTGTTTAATAATCTTACTCAGTTCAGACTTGTTGATTGTTTTATCTCTATTTCTTAAATGTGTCGGACATATCTGAATTTCTCAGTTACGATAATCAAAAACAGGAAACGTGATAAATAACACCCATTTACTCTAATAGCAGCATATTTATGTATTCATACACTAATATTTTCATATTTCTATTATCCAGTCTCTACACTAAGGCCTGCTCCAGCAAGTTCATCCAGAGCACCTGCAAAACAAACAACTAGAGATGCAACAGGTCATTTCCAGCCGTCTTCCAATCATTTATTCCTTAAATTCATATATTCATTCATACTTTTTTTTTTAAACAGAGAATAAGGGAATATCAATGACAAAGCGCTCGACTACAGGCTCTTCACCAGAAACCATGCACATATCAGCACTGTCTGGTAAATGAGACTTTTTTGGTGTGTTTGAATATTTATAGTTCAACCATGACAACTCTCTGAAGATTTTAGCATGGTGATGGATATGACAGTGTTAATGTATTTGGTCTTGGCGGAATAGAACTACTACGCTGCTGCTGCTGCTGTTGGTTATTGCTGTAGTTGTAGATTATTGCTGCTGCTGCTGCAAGCAAGTACAGGAACTTGCTACTGCCAATGCATATGGCAATACGGTGCCATGAGTATTTAAGACATACTGCTGCTGCACAAATAGCATATAAAATAACCCCCGTAGCAGATCTATACAGGAGGAGCTGGGGAAGGTGGAGGGTTTCAGAGAAACTCTGAAAGCGCGCTGCAGGAATCTCAAGCCAGCCATATAAATGCAAGGCAGTGAGCTCATTGGCTGCATATGCAGCATGAACCAATCAGCTTGTGCCAAGTCCTTTAAAGGGATAGTTCACCCAAAAATGAAAATTTGATGTTTATCTGCTTACCCCCAGGGCATCCAAGATGTAGGTGACTTTGTTTCTTCAGTAGAACACAAACGAAGAGGAAGACATGTTGACTGAAGAACGTTGCAGTCTGTCAGTCATATAAGTGAATGGGAATCACTTTGAGAGTCAAAAAAATATACGCAAACAAAACCAAATTAAACCTTGCGGCTCGTGACGATACATTGATGTGTAAAGACACGAAATGATCGGTCTGTGCAAGAAACTGAACAGTATTTATATCGTTTTTTACCTCTGATTCACCGCAATGTCTGAATTGTCTCAAATGGACCATTGACACTCCTAATTGAGATTGTAGATAGAGTGTCAATGGTCAATTTGAGAGATAGGTGGCAGTAATGCACTTATAAGTCTGCGATTCTGAGACAGTTCGGACATTGCGGTGAATCAGAGGTAAAAAAACATTTAAATACTGTTCAGTTTCTTGCACAGACCGATCGTTTCGTGTCTTTACATTTTGCGTGAACTATCCCTTTAACTCTCTGAATATCATCGGTTGCGTTAACGACCCATCAGCCTGCGCCATCTAGAGTTTCATGACTGAACTATATATTACTACTTGAGAATCAGATAGGAAGGAAATACATGTTTAATCTGTGTGCTGGTTTCTGTCCTCAGATCCTCTGGTTTATGTTGGTGCTGGTCTTGGTGCTCTGGTGCTGATTTTTACAGTCGTCCTCTTCATATTTATCAAACTGAAGGAGAAGAGATGCTCCTCCAGTTTGACATCGTCTGCACATCGACCTGATTCTCTGATTTATACCACACCGAATGTCAGTGCACAATCAGACAGTCTGAACTATTCCTCCGTGCAGTTTATCAGAAAACCCAGATGCAGTGTGAAGACCAGTGAGATGTTTGAAATGAACCCAAATGAACGGGCAGAAACACTTTATCCACCTGTTCAAACTCAACACCAGTCAGACATCACTGATCCAAACTCAATAATCTATTCCAATCTTTGTAAAGGACTGTAGATTAGGACGATTTGACAAGTGCACGTTTATTTTAGAGTTTGAATGCCTTTCTATTGTTGCCAATGCTACAGATAGAGGCGTTAGAACATTTTATATGTCTACATGAATATTTGTTTATACAGTGCAAGTCAGCTAAATGTCCTTCAGATTATGAGTCGGTACATACGGCATTTCCCCAGCCTCTGTTACAAGGTATTTAAAAGAGAGGTTTGTGATTTCTGGATACTAAAATACTTTCATATCCAGTTACTATGCAGAAGTAAGCCATACATAGACATTCGTTTTCATAAATGATCAAAATGTGCCTTTTACAAGTTGGAGAGTTGTAAACGGACTAAAGAGTAAACCTGGAGAGTAAATAGATACATTATTGATAATTTCCTTGAGTTACTATTATCATTTGGTACTATTATGGTACTATTACTATTATATGACTATTAGCATATTAGAAATTGACTGATTTATTATCATTTCATTCTATAACAAAATATCAAAACAAGTGGAATATATTTTAAAGACACATGCAGCTGATTAAATGACACTGAATTGAGTGCATTTAGAGAAATGATTCTGCAGAGTTTGTTTGATAGTTTATATGATGCAATGATATTCACACATTTTTAAGTGTGAGTGAAGTATCCAAAAACTCTCTGAGGCCACTTAAAAGCATATTAACGTTAACAAATTGTATGAATTAAATCTGTTCTGATATTGGTTTGATATGTACAGTGATGTCAAGATATGCTAGGTGTGTGTGTAGTAGTAAGAAAAACAGGGAAGGGGAAGGAGAAGTTAACCGTTGCACCATATACACCTCAGTACGGAAGAAAGAAACATTTGTCAGTGTTTACGAGTTTTATTTAGTCAAAAGTGCCGTAAATCTTCACCATGTGGAGCTTTCTTCTTCTCTGGTCCTGCATGCGTATCGGTGAGTTCAGGACTCTTGTGTGTGACAGTTTTGCACTTCTCTAATTTTCCACTTGTCTAATATTTTACAATCAGCATTCAGCATTTCTTAATACGTTAAATGTGCTAATCCTGTCTAGTGATATTTCTGTTTTCAGTTGTTGTTGGTGCTCAAAAAACAGTCATAGGACACAGAGGAGGCAGATTTGACATCAGATGCCCATATGAATCTGGATATGAATCAAATCCAAAGTATTTTTGTAAAGGCGAGTGTAAATTTGGAAATAAATTCATCATGGTTAAATCAGGATCTCCAGCTAAAGACCAGAGATTCTCTCTGAGTGACGATACGACGGCCAGAGTTTTCACCGTCACCATCACTGATCTGAGAACTGAGGATGAAGGACAATACTGGTGTGGAGTGGAGAGGATTTTACCTGATGTCTATTCAGAGATTCTGTTGCTAGTTAAACAGGGTAATGTGACTTAAACAAATGGACCTATAGTAGAAATGTACATGGAAACAAGTCAGTAACTGCTCATGTATGCATGTGACTTTTCTCATTTAGGGTCATGAATGTGCATGCAAAGTTTCGACGCATAGATGTGTTTTAGAAAGACTGCAAATTTTGGTTACATTAGTTGTGTTGAGGTCAAATCGACCTCCATTGGTTTCCATGCAAAAATCTTCCGAATCATCCAAAGAGAATTTGCAGTTTCTTCATCCATTTGAGTTTCACAGTCAAAAAGTCTGTGAAATTATGTAATTGGTTGTTAGTTTTTTGCATGTCAATTACTAGTCTGTTGCCGCACTGAAAATAAGCAATGGGAAACTCATTTTAACCTTGCAAGGGTTTGAGTAAATACTAATACACAAATAATGTTAGAAATTATTTATAACTAATTGTAGTTATTTGCACATCAGGGTGCAAATAGACATTACAAGTATTCATTGAAAAACAACAAGAAGTCATTCATTTTGTGTCTGTGCAGCTAATTTTGAACAAATATATGCAGTTCAAATTGATCCCAACACAAAGAGAGGAACTTATTTTTGTTGCATAATTTATTTTATTTATTTTATTTATTAGATATTTTAGACTCTGACAAGCTACAGTAGAAGTTTCATGTTTTTACATGACTTTTTATACATCGTATTCTTGGCGATATTGCATCCTATTGCATGGAAACCAATGGGGTAACACAAATTATATTGTAATGTATTAGTATAACCGTAATCTAGTCCATCTTTGTTGTCATCCCTTTAGATAAGAGGCCAGCTGAAGTTACAACCATCAGCCTGTGTTTAATAACAAGCACACGTGTTTTAACAGCTCCTCTGACTCATCAAACCCTGCTAGCACAGACGCCTCCACCTGACTCAGGTAAACACCTCTCCACATCTCACACACTCACTGCTCATGTTTCTCTCACAGAGACATCTGATCCAGCTGAGTGCTTTAGTTTGTCTTGTGTATTTTCAGGTTCATTTGTCATCATCATCATCATCACAGCAGGAGGTTTGGTTTTGCTCCTGATCTGTGCTGTATTGCTTATTGTGGCCATACGGAAGAAAATGATGTGTGGTAATATTTATGAAGTATATATAAATGAATGAATGGAGAAAAAAAATGAATTAATTAAATCTACATTTATTTACATTCAGATCAGTCTTATACTATTAGGTTTTATTGATATTTTGAATTACTTTCCATTTTTATATTTTCCATTTTCATCTCAGTTTTAAAGTTTTAGTAACGTTGTTATGTGTTTTTACAATTTTTATTAGTGTTGTTGTTGTTTTTTTAATATGGCTATATAGTTTTATTATTATTAATTTCCATTTCAGTTTTAGTTATTTTAGCACATCAAGTTAAACTAAATGAAAATGAGAGATGTTAGCATCTAACTGAAATAAAATATATTTTTTAATTATTTATTTATTTCAGTTAATGTTTCCTCTCAAGTAACACTTTTTTTTTAAAAATGGGTTTATTTAACTATAATAATAACCCTGATTCAGACAACATAGACACATAGAACGTCATAGTCTGTAATAATGGAAAAACAACATAAAATTACAGGGGTTTGTAAAAAAATAAATAATGGATTGTAGTTCCCTTTCATGGGAACTTCGAATTGCGTCCTCTAGGGGTCGCTATGGGAAACCTAGAGGACGCAGTGTCTCGTTCCCTACTCAGGGAACCATGGTTACATAAGTAACCTGAGACGTTCCCTTTCATGGGAACTTCGAACTGCGTCCTCTAGGTTTCCCATAGCGACCCCTAGAGGACGCAGTGTCTCGTTCCTAATTCTCAGATACTGACCTGTTTACATCCAAAAAACTTTTAAATTTTTAGTGTTTATGTTCAAATTTTGAATAACCAACTCTGTGAAACTGCAGCATGCAATGGAAGTGTTGCTCTAATAGTTATTGAATGAAACTTAAATCTATGTAATGCATATAAATATTTGAGCTCTTGTACTAGTTAGACACACACACACACAGACATCAAGAACCAGCATATGAATCTCAACAATGGTGACAATCAACAAAATGCTTCATGCTGCAATGCATGCTGGGTAACACCATAGTAAAAACTCCCATCTTGCACTGCAGTATGAATAATTATTATCACCACTGTTGAGGATCGTATGATAAGTGTTCAAGTCTAAAAGCCTGAGCGACATAGTTATTTCTTCCAATATTTAAGCATTACAGTGACATTTGTTTAATAGGACTTCATTGCAGTTCTGAAACAGCTGAACGTCAGTCAATAAACCAAAGAGAGACACCTTCATGATGTTCATTCAAGTGACTTACAAGCAGAAAGTGTAAGCTCATCTGTTACCGCAAGCTTTCAATTCAGCAATGCACACATGCACAAATGTTTGTTGTAAAGCAATACTGCAATTCGAGACTTGTTTGTGATTTGAACGAGACTTGTTTGTGATTTGAACGAGACTTGTTTGTGATTTGAAAGGAATGACTTGGTTCCTCCTCTGCTGAAATCAGCTGCTGAGCTCATGGGTGGAATAAACATATGGCAGGACTTTTACTTTCTGACCCCTGGATTGTCCACCTCTGTACATAAGTAACCTGAGACGATTTCCTTTCTGTTCAGATTTTTATTTATTTATTTATTTTCTGCCGGTCTGAGCAGAACTGTTGAGACAGTCATTGACTTACTGTCTGGCTAATGTGAAGAACTGAATTCAGTTACTAGACGTTTTAAAACTATAATAACATTCATCTATCGCAGGTCTGGTTTCCTTCTCCGCTGAAGGGCTTCATCTGAGATTCAGAAAAGGAGAAGAGGTGAGTCATCTTTAAGATTTCTATAATTTATTGCATCATGAACTTCATTTCTTCTCAAGTCAATGTCAAAGTTCACATTCTTGCCCAATTCTTCCTTCTTTCAATTTACAGAATACTTATGAGACAGAAAACGCAGCAGTCGTCTCAAACTCACACACAGCTCAGAGTAATGACGTTTCCGAAGCAGCCGACACAGACCTCGACTACATGAATGCTGCTGCTGCTGCAGTGAGAAACAGTGTGAATCCAGAACTGAACACCAGTAGACACAGTCACATTTATCAGAGTCTCACCGCTGATTCTCAAGAAGAGTCCGTCTATCACTGTATCCATCAATCGATGGACTGAACACTGAAGCCTCATCGTCAAATGATCAACCCTTTTTTTTTTTGCTTTAGACTTTTGTTGCATATGTTGCATAAACTTTGAAAATGATACAGTAGCATCAGATAATCTTTCTGACCCTGCATAGACAGCAAAGGAACTACCACGTTCAAGGCACAGAAACACAGTAAGGAGATCGTTAAAATAGTCCATGTGACATCAGTGGTTAATTCAACCTTAATGTTATGAAGCTACGAGAATACTTTTTGTGTGCAAAGAAAACAAAAATAACGACTTTATTCAATGATTTCTTCTCTTCGGTGTCGGTGCGGCTTGTTTTCAGGCAGAGGAATGCACACGCATGCATCGTGGTACTGTCATGAACGCGTGTCGAGGACTGACACGGAAGAGAAGAAATTGTCATTATTTTTGTTTTCTTTGCACACAAAAAGTACTCTCGTATTCTTTGAACAAGTACCCTCAGGTGCTAGTGGGCTCTTGCTAAGCAGCAAAACCTCAATCACTTAGTAATAACAGGTTAGGTTTGACAGCTTGTTTTCAAGCAGAGGAATGCACACGCATGCATCGTGGTACTGTCATGAACGCGTGTCGAGGACTGACACGGAAGAGAAGAAATTGTCATTATTTTTGTTTTCTTTGCACACAAAAAGTACTCTCGTATTCTTTGAACAAGTACCCTCAGGTGCTAGTGGGCTCTTGCTAAGCAGCTAAACCTCAATCACATGGTAATAACAGGGTTGGTTTGACAAATGACTTTTAATGTGCTGTAAGATGTATGAAGATGCAACGCAATAAATACATTTATACCAACAGTTTTTTTTTCTAGAATACAATTACACACCTACATGAATAGAGATGTCAAAATCCAGGTCAGTGAGTCTTTCATAGTCTGTTATGGAAAGAACAGTGTTGATCTGACAAATGAGCTTTAACTGAGAATTGAAATGCCCTTAAATCACTATTATTAGGCAAGGCAAGGCAAGGCAAGTTTATTTGTATAGCACATTTCATACACAATGGTAATTCAAAGTGCTTTACATAAAAGAAAAGAAAAAAAAAATAATCACAACAATAAAACAAGGAATTTAAAAACATTGAAAATGATTAAAACAATTGATTTAAGAAGTTTAAAATGAATTTAAGAAAACGATAATACGTAGAATATAGTGCAATCAGTTCGGACATAGCACAGTGCTCATTCAATGAATGCACAGCTAAACAGATGAGTTTTGAGGCTGCATTTAAAGACTGGTGTATTTTGAGACTGGTGCATTTAAAGACTGCATTTTGAGAATGGTGTATTACCAGTCATGATGAAGTCTTAGTAGCACTTTACCATTATCTTATTGTTTCCTGGAGCCTCAGTGATGCAGTAGAGATGTGTGGAAGTGTAACATGTTGCTTTGGCTCAATTCATATGTTGTCCATCAGAGGTCAGTGTGGAGAGGAATTAGCTGCTGTTGTGTTTAATCGCATTGAAGAAAATGAAGCTTGTTACCCTTCAGCATTAAAGGCCACACAGAAGTGTTACAGTCTCAAGACTTTTCTTTTGGCAGTGAGGAATACGTTTTCTCACTGGTGTAAATCAGCAGGCCTATTAACACTCCAGCGTTAAGTAAAAGAGATTGAAAATATTACACTCCGTACATGCAGGTTTAAATATTATAAATATATAAATATTTGACGGCACGGATGATTGAGTTTACTGGTGCACACGAGGGAAATATTGTTCCTCGGCTGATGTGTGACTATGCAAACACAGTCAAACGTTACAGATGTGCTCTCTGAAGATGTCCTGAAGAGCTGATGTGGTCAGAGATACGGAAAGGGGAAGGAAATGTTTGATATACGTAGTTGCAGACACAGCATGCTTTTTCACTCAGTACGGAAGAGAAAGACCATAACGCTTGAGCTTTTGTCTTGTATTTATGCAAAACGTGTGTAAAATCTTAGCATGTGGGACGTTCTCTTCCTCTTTTCCAGCATCTGTACAGGTGAGTTTAAGACTCTCAGGGCTTTTGTACAAAAGTTGATGTGTTTTTATTGTTTTTACTCTGTTACTGCATGTTATTTTTCATCCCTCTGGTTAGCTTCAATGTCATGTGTCAACGCCATTTCAATAAAACACAATACATGCATTGTCATATTTGAAGTTGGTTTGTGTAGACAGTGTTTTATTGCACAATAATTTAACAGAGAAAAGCATTACCTATATTTACATGCATGCAAAAATGGGCTGCAGAAGATAAACTTTTTAATGCTAAAAAGCCCCCAAAAAAACACTGGTACACTAGCAGGCCTGGCTTCACAATCAAATCACTGAGGGTGCTTCTTAAATTAGTGAGGGTGCTCTCTCTCTCTCTCTCTCTCTC